AATAATTAACTAATGGATGCATAATGCAATAAATATTTTCAATTAATTTATAACTGCTAAAATTATAAATCAACAATAATTTTTTTATTTCTTTTTATATAAGTGCTCTCAGAACGAATAAAAAAAAAACTAAAAGAGGTGTCAGATTTTGTCAGCAAACCTCAGTAAGAAGCAATCTATAGAAAGAGCCGTTGGAGTATACACTTCGATTTTTTTTTTTTTTTTTTTTTTTTTTCGATTTTTTTTTTACCTCAGTAAGAAGCAATCTATAGAAAGAGCCGTTGGAGTATACACTTCGATTTTTTTTTTTTTTTTTTTCATATTCGATATTTATTTTGAATCTGATCAAATTTAAATTTATGTATTGTAGGAATCATTTTGAAAGACAGTTTCTTCCAATAGAACTGTTTTTCATTCTCAAAAGTTGGAGCTCAAAATCTTTAATTTAAAATGAACGAGATAATAATATTTGGTTTGAGGGGATAATAGTGTTTTTTTTAAAAATAAAAATATTACAGCATTATACTTGCTATACAATTTTCTATATTAAATCTTGACATAATTAGTATGAAATCTATGTGTAACTAATATAGTGTTCACTTCTGTAATGTTTATGCAGAGTTCAATAAGGAAAAAACAAAAAATAATAATTATTAATTATGTTATTTGAACGCTTTAAAATTATTATCTCACTCATATCAAATTTCTTTAAGACGCATATCTTTTAAAAGATCTATAAGAAATCCAAGTATTATGCATTATTAGGGTTGGTGTAATTTATACGCAAATTCGTGAAATATTTTACGGAATGTTATTTTTTATTTTCATAAAATATTTTTTCTTGAGTAGAGATTTTTTAGAAATGATCTCTCTATCCCTAAAAAAGAAACACATTGGCGTGTACACCCATTTTTTTTTTCTAAACTTGATCACTTGTGAAAACACACTTGGCTCAAGGATTTATTAAAAAGTCTCACTTTAAAAGGTAAAATATTACTCCCTCCGTTTCACAAAGAGTGATCTGGTTTGACTTGATACGAAGTTTTAGAAAATAAATAAGATTTTTGAATCTTGTGATCCTAAATTAATGTTATGTCAAATGTACTAAATTACCCTTCAATCTTGTGGATTTAACATGCCACGTGGAAAACTGAAATTAAAATGTTACAAAAAAAGAAAAGAAATCATTCTTTTTGAAACAGACTAAAAAAGAAATGAGGTAATTCTTTTTTAAACGGAGGAAGTACTATCTATCAAAAACGGCTTCATTCTTAAAGCTCAAATCCTTAAAACAAATTGCTTTGGTAACTTTAATCTTATGACAGTGACAAATTCCATTTCTTGAAGTTGGACCATTTGGGTGACAAAAAGTCACATGATGGCTTGGCATATTTACATGTGATGAAACTACTCACCCATTGCTCTTAAAAAAACACACAAAAACATTTTTCAATCCGATATTCAATATTTATTTTGAAACTTTGATTAATTTAAATTTATATTACGTAAAATTTATTAAAAGAAAATTTTATTTTCTATCAGAATTTTTTCATTTCTCTAACTTTATCTCGAAACCTCTAAATAGAAATAAAAGAATCATATCCACCATCATACTATTAATCTCTAGGCAATAAAACAACGATAGGCTCATTAAGGGATAAGCTTCCTTCTTTAAAGTTTTCACTGGTAAGAACAAATTTTAAAATGTTTCCTTCAAAACATCATCGAAAATATGTTATTTTCATCGAAAGCGCTTCTGATGAGTCAATTTCAGTGGCCGCCTCCTAATTAATTGCATAAATTGCATAAAACACATTAATTATCACCTTGAATAGTATTCTATAGAAGCAACGTCATGATGAAGCAAATAGAATTAGGTATTTTGGTAACATTCAATTCTTTAAGTCAAGAATAGCCAAATTTCAATCATGGAACAATTGAAGTATTGCATTTCTTCACGTATTGTTCAAAATATCCATATTATCTAATAAATGCCTTTAAAGTTGGGAGAATAATATTTCAATGGAAACAAATACAAAAGGAAAGTTTCAACTAGGACAAATTAGTCTAGAGCTTCTAGGAAAAGGCTAAAAAATTGAAACTTCCAGTGTGATGCGATTTTGAATTAGTCGTATTAATAAATAATGAATATCGAATATTAAAGTGGGTAGATGTATAAAAAAATTTAAAAAATTAGTAAATGTTAAATAACGACATCCAAATAAAGTATCCTTGGTGTTTTTTTTTGTGGAAAAATTACACGATCAGACAAATATGTGTTACGTATTTAATATACACAACTGTAATTTAAAAGAATTAAATTACATAGCTATACTTAGAGTTTTATAGCAGATTTCTTCTCTCTCACAATCTCTCCTTGACTCTCTCCTCACCCATCTCTCTCTTCCCTGGCTCCCTTCTCTACCTTTCTCGTCGCATCCTTCTCTATCTCTTGCTTGGATTGAAATTCAATAAGCAACAAAAGACCTAAACGTTCAAATGAGATATTATTGATACAAAGCATGCGAGAGATGATGGAGACCTCTCTTGTTTCTCTTCAATTGTATACTCAGATTCTCAGTATGCTTGAACGAGGAAGAGATACTATATTGATACAATATTGTATCAACCGTATTCTAAAATAGTATACAACACATGATCAATACAAATGTATAACAAGGACAAAATACAATTAAAACATTGATACAAATCTATAACTAGTTGCAGATCCACTCAAATACATTAATAGAGACTTAATACATAAGTTGTATTCATTGATACAAAACAGTTGTATTTGTGATACAATCCAATACAACAAATACAACATGTATTCATCCTCTCTTTTATCCAATCTCACTCACTTCTCTCCTACCCCTTCCAATCCCGCTCACCTCTCTCCCTCTTCTAACATGTAACTATGAATCGTAATTAAGCAAACTATAACTATAAATCTCTAATTAAGCCCAAATTGTAGTTATTTTTAGAAGTTGCTCATATTTTTACTCACAAATTATAAAGAGTAAACTACATAAATCTCACTAGTTTAGTACCTAATTACTATGATTCAAGATAGTTTCGATAATAACATCCTATACCATATTTTGTCTGTCGGATACATGTATCATTACTTGTCAGATACATGTATCTGACGGTTTGAATTAAAGAGATACATGTTTTAATATTTTGAATTAAATGTGTGTAACTGATTTCCTTAAATAAAGGAGTAATTTAGGTTTAATTAACAACTCTAATTGAAAATACAGATTCATTAACATATCAACTCTAACAAATCTTCCTAAAATAAAGAAATCCTAAAACCATAATAATTCTCTAATTCAAAACTTCTTCTTCTTGGCAACAATTCTTTTTTTGTTTCTTGCGTTTGATTTTTTTTTTCTTTTCATAATGGTCAATATCACCATAAACACCGATGGAATACTTCTCAAGGATAATGCTACTTTTCATGATATCATTGAAGGTATTTCCAAGCAACTACAAATCAATTGTAGTCGCAATGTTTGAGACTAAATTTTGGAAAATCTACTTCAGTTTTTGACCTATTCCAATTATCCGACCTTCTCTACAAATCATGTTTCTATGGGAGGAGAATGAACCTCTAGACAAGATATGGTTCTTATACAGAGGATTGTTAGTTTCACCTCTTATAATTATGTCCTGATGTATTTCTGATAAGATATAGTGTGTGATATGAAATTAGTCGCAATGTTCTAGAGATCAGATACATCCCAATTAACCTTTAGCGAAGAAGCATTTTAGGACAGGTGGCGACCAGCCTTTTCCCGTCTCAAAAGACTATTTGGTACCGGATTTTGACTTTCTAGGACCATATTTTCCTTTCCTTAGAGACTATTTTTCTTGTAGTGGTACTTATGCATTTTCCCAATACATTATAACTTAATGAATGCTTCTTGTGATATGTTTTGTTTAAGTACATCAGATAGACACACAATTCCGATAGATACATGATAGTAAATAACTATTTAATATTTCAGATACACTATCTACCTTGTTAGATATGTTGTTGATTATTGTTTCTAAATTTTGTTTATAATAAGATACATTTTTTTTTATATCAAATACACATCTATTTTTGTTGTTCATATACATGAGAAGGGTAGTAGCTCATATAATTGATGTGGTCTGTTAGATACGCTGTTAATTCTCTAAACTAGTTAATATGAATTTTAAGTTAGATACATTGTAATTTATTATTTTTTTGCTTAGAAAAAATATTTTTTGATAGTTTCAGATACACTATTTATCATATTAGATACATGTAAATTAAACATCTATAGCATACATATAACATCATGCTTAGATACACGAAATAATCATATCAGATACGCATCACATAAAAATAAAAATAAATTGCCATGTATAGATACATTGAATGAAACATATTAAATATATGAAATAAAAACTAAGATACATAAGATTAAAAATAAACTGCCATGTATAGATATATTGAATGAAACATATTAAATATATGAAATAAAAACTAAGATACATAAGATGAATTGTATGACCATATACATGGCATATATATTGCAACTAAAATAATATATCGGTGGGGATGAGGGGTGGGGATAGACGATTTACGGAGGAGGTTTGGGGGGGGGGGGTTTGATGAGAGAGAAAGATATTTGGACCATTAATTTTAATTTTTAAAATGTAAAGATAATTAAGCAATCCTAATTTTAAGGGATTTGTGTATCTAATTATATTTTTAAAAATATATGGTATAAAATATTAAAAGTGGTAATATATGTAATTGTTTAAAAGTAGAGGTATTATTAGTATATATAGTAGGGATGTATGTCTAATTAGGTAGTTTTTCCAATTATAAATGTGTTCCCATGGGCTTATTAATGGACCTACAAAATGACATAATGGATCTCTCTTCAGATCCAATTTTAAAGGCCCAATTCATTGACCCGAAAAACCCCAAAAATAGAAGAACACACTTATTTTGAACACCTGAAGAAAATCTTCAACAATTCAAGAACACAAGCAAAGAACAAGATTTTTCTTCTTCTCTGTAGTGGCTTTCAATGCAACGTTTCAATGAATTCTTCCTAAATTATCAAACCCCACTTGCTAGATTTGTCACTTCTCGCCATTCTTGCAGCAAATTGTTCATTGGAGGTCTGTAGTGATACTATGATTCTGTTTCTTTACTTGTGTATCATGATTGGCATATAGTTTTTTGGGGTTTCTCGCCCGGTATTCGGTACCTGTATTGGGGTCCCACTAATTCTGGGAGTTCATACCAGGTCGAAACCGAGAGCTCTAGTTAAGAATGAAGGGGTATATGGTATGGGCGTATAGTTTTGAAACTATATGGTTGTGTTTAGTTTTGTATTCCTAAATTCAGCTTAAATGTTATGTATTACCTTTTCTTGAAAAAATAAAGTTCAAATTTTTAGTCATATTGGCATAGCAATTGAACAGTTCTAGTTGGGGCTCTGGCATAGCTCTATTTGGGTATGTTTCTTTCTAACAATGTTAAATTTTTTGTCTAGGATTCTGTTTTAGAGTTTCTTGGAAGATTAAGACTGCTAAGTAAAGTTGGAGCCCGCTTGGTTAGCTGGATTTAAGTAGCTTTTATGCACTGGGGGAGCTGAATTTATGTACAAGCAGTTATGTGTTTAGATAGAAGTGTTGTTACGTGTTTAGATAGAAGTGTTGTTACGTGTTTAGATAGTCATATTTACACCTTAGGGATAAAATAGCATTTCCAGAGAGGATTCTTTTGAATAGTTGGGTGAGGTATAGTTCAGCAGTATTTCTGTGGGACAGAGATGTGGGATGTAAAATGAAAGTTGATATCGATAATTAACTCTGTTTTGTGGAGTTAGTATTTGAAGCACCGTGATAATGTATGTTGTCAGTGCAGAGATTTTCCTGTCTCTTGCTAAGTATTTTAGCTTGGATGAGTCCTTTTGACTACTCTGATGCACGTGAAGCTAAAGATTTCTTCTTGTGTCTCTCTGTGCTTAGTTGATTTCTTCCTTGATGTTTGATGTACTAGATTCATTCTTGAAAATATCTGATCTTTCCATATTAATGATTTTTCGTTCTTACAAATTTTAATGTGGCAGTCTGTGAGAGGTAAAAGAGTGCTTCTGGCAGTTTCAAGAAATCCTCTGTTTCAGTTTCGAGATGCGGAGACAATGGGGTTCATTCCTCTGCCTTTCTCCACTTCAAAATCAAACTTGGTTACACAACTAGGTTTCAAACTTGTGAGTTGTGACATGCAGCTACCACACATCCAGCAGCGTACTACCTTTGCTGTTGAACCAAAACCAAGGTGTTGTGTTAAAGTTAGGTTCTTTTTCTGGTCACTTAGACGACAGACATAATTTGCTTCCAGGGGAGGTTGTTTTGGTTGGGTGTGTGGGATGGCGGAGAGCTCTTTGGATGACAGTTTTATCTTGTTAATTGAGCAAAAGTAGCACCGGAATTAAGATCTGATGATGGATTAGCGGTAACATGTTTGCACTAGAGTACATAGGGAACCTAAAGCCTGAAAAAACTGCGATTGCATTTTAAGCTCAAATCCAGATGAACACCTTGTTGTCATATCTAAAAACTTAAGGACAATGCAAAGGATGATAAATTTGGATACTTGTTAACGCGAAATCTCCTCTCTACCACACAAAGGTAGGGGTAAGGTCTGCGTACCCCCC